TTGGGTAGGATTACAATGCTGCTAGTCGCAGCTCTGACGCATTTCAGCTACATATTGCAGATGAGGCTATATGCAGCTTATTTTAGTCAGATACATACTTCTGCGACCATAGATCATACAACTTGATAATAGTAACAGAAGTAGATTAGTTCTCATGTGTTTTAATATTTTGTTGTATGTACATGTGGCTTTGGAGTTATACACTTCGTAACTGTTTGAGATGTAAGGATTGAAAAAACATCTTGGTTTGATTGGTAGGCAAGTAGTCGTCCCTTTCTTGTATGCATGTACCTATGGCCTGTCTCTGGAAATGGGGAGAGGGGGGTTAGTTTCTCCATTGCTCAAGGAACAAAGAATAAGGGATTAAGAGAACTAGGGCTTAGATTGGTATATACTTCGCACAACTTGTGGATTATACAAGAGGATATCATCCCAAGTCACAGGGTCATACAAGAAGTGGTAATTTGATACTCATCTCAAAACGAGGTGGAAATTCATGGAGAAGTATTTACATAATAGGAAAGCTACAGAAGTGAAAGAGAAGTAGAGATGAGAACTCGAAATTTTACACTACAAGAAACTCGAGCACGGGAAGTTGTTACTGGGATACTCAACACAAGGACTAGTACTACAGCGACCAAACGCAAAAAGGGCTTCAAGTACATTCTACCTAGTTTGTAATCAAGTTTCCAGGGGCTCCTGCCTTTCTTTGCTGTTCATCACCGACGCGATGTCAACTCACCATTGTGGGCTCGTGCGCAAAGGGGATAATTAGACGAGAAGGAAGGGGGCTATACGTAGAAGAAGAAAAAGTCTGAATTTAATCACTTTAATAAAATCTGTGATTAATCAACCACGAACAAAATAATCGGTAGGTACCTAAACAACGGGTGTTTGCGTGGTTACCGTAGAACTATGAAAGTTAATAGCACTAGATTAACCCTTGGATTATCTTCAGTTGTGATACTATTTCAAAGTCTGATTCTTCGAATAGAGCTAGAGCTTTTAAGTTGTTGAAGGGTTGCGCTAGTGGTCGAGTCCAGTCGTTTTTCTTAATTCTATGAATAGGGGGGATGGTAAGCATACATCATTTACACTCACGTGAAGAAAAGAGGCATCTTAGTGAAGTGCACATGACAAGTTCAGTATTTGGACTAGAGTTCTCATTCCAAACAAAGTGTGTCTACCAGAGTTCGCAACCAACATTTTAAAAGAACAGAGTGTTCAATATGAGTAGTAACCCGTTCATGCTATCCCGTGTATTTTTGTGCTTTCGGGGTACACTGCAGGCATGCTACTCAGCATTGCATTTCAACATACAGAAAACCTTAACCGAAAACCACTGTTGAAAATCAGGCACGAGAACGGGAAATCATTTGTATATCTTGTAAAGGTATCAGCAATATGATCTGCTCTCTCATTAAACACATGTATACACCACCTAGATACTTTTTGCTTTTGGACGTCCCATTACATCCTAGCTCCAAAACGCCATGTCCATCCATATGCATTGAGTCTACGCTTGACCAGCTCTCGTTCAAAATCATATCACTCATCTAGTACCTTCCCCCTCAATATAAGGACTTCTTCTCCCACTCCTGATCACCCTCTAATCTCATTGGCAAGTCCGTTTCCCAGATAGGTCTTTCTATAATTGCCACTTCCAGTCCGTTTTCACCCCCCTCACCAATCTCCACCATACCAAGTATTGGCCTATACTTGAGCGTCTTGTAAGTTTGAGCTGGCCCACTAAACTTCTCATCTTCGCTCCTCTGCGATCTTCTCATTAGTAGTGACTTTGATTCCCTGTCAACTTCATCGTCTTCCGAATCAACATCCATATCGTATTTTTTGTTTTGGATGTCAATTTCGGTTTCTTGGGTTTCCTCCTCGTGAATGAGTTTGCGGATTTTACGAGACATTCCTGTCTCGTTCTCTTCTGGGTCAACCATACCACCAGCTCCAGATTTCCCTAGTTGGAAGCGCTTGCGTTTGCTTCCCGAACTCTCGGCGTCTCCATCATCTTCCGCTTCTTCATCCTCAAAATGAAAATCTTGTGATAAATCGAACATCCATAACCAGTTAATACCATATAACCACATACGCTCGCGACCATTTGAGATATCCCATAAACAACCTCTTGCCAAATCTGCAACTTTACGGAATGCAAGGGGGAATGTAGAAGTGGGATTTCTGCGAGACCATGGTGTGAGTGAGCCAGCCAAAACTTCGAATTCGTAAACTTCATTAGTGGATGTGACAATGACTAAACGATCCTCGGCAACGGGTAGTTCATGAGATACAGGGCGTGGATTATTGCGTGTAGCAGGAGGTGTGGCTCCATTGATCTGTACGGGGAGAGTTGCAGGGCGGAAAGATAGTACGACTGGTGCGGCGGGAAGTTTTGGTATACGAGTTGCAGACGGGTTTCGTGTCCAGTGTTGGCCAAAAATCAATTTTGGGGTTTTCACTTCTTCAGCATCGGAACCATCGTCGGATTCATCATCAGATGCGTCGTCTTCCTCTGCTTCCTCCAACTCTTGAGTAAGATCTTCGATTCCTTCCAGAACCCAAGTATCAACAAAACCTGCCAGGTCACTTACTACCAATATTCGACTATCAGATGAGAATGCTGCTTGAGTTATAGTTCTTTCATATGCACCAAGACCACCTAGAAGCTTAGTTTTCGAGATATTACGATCAAGACGGGAAAGTCTCGAGAGCTGAGGAACTATAGTAAATGAGGATGGTGAAGCATCATCCTGAATGACTCGCGCTACTGCGACTGAGCTATCATCCCGAATTATCGATATCCAGTTTCCGTCAGGGGAAAATTGAACCATACGGGCCCCAGAAGAAAACGCTTGTGGCACAGCGACAGTTGATACTTTAAGACCATCACCCTCTTCGGGTTTTCGTGCCTTGAGGCGGAATAACTTTATATCTGATATCGTTGACACAGCGAGCAGGTTTCCCGCAGCATTGAGAGTCGCAGATGTAATATTAGACTCCCCCTTGACTAATATCTTCGCTACCAATTTGCGATTGACTGCTGCAGTCTCTGGCTCATCGCCGTTGATGGATTCGGAAAGTCTGTTTATGCGCCAGATGTTTATTTCTCGATCCCACCAACTCATTATAAATCTCTTTCTTGTAGAACTTTGAATAATAGAAGATTGAGGTAGGAAGGGCAAGGCACGTTGGTTCTCTTGACCAGATTGCGCAAGTGGAAGAATAGTGGGAGCAGCATCGGGACCTAGGAAAAATTGTTAGCATGCGCAAAGAATATTAATGAAAAATGTGCTTACCTCCGGACGCTACAACACTAATTCCTTGACATTCCAAGCTTGCCATGGCCTTCACATCGTGAGTGTGATATCTCCTATGCCTGACTTCTGACCATCTCTTCTTCCCTTTGATTTGTTTGTAGACTACTGTTCGTCTATCCATACCACCACTGAAGAATGTCATTCCGTCAGCGCTTGTCGCGAGGCTGAGAACGTCTTGAGTATGACTCTTGATGTGTTGCATCATACTGTATGTTTTACCATGCCATATCTTGACTTCTCCTGTGGAGTCGCCAGAAATGATATCTCCATTTGGTAATGCTTTCACAGCCCAGACAATGATATCCTTGGGTCCTCCCTTAGGTCCAGCTCCCAAAGACATCTGCCTTAGCATCGATCCGGTCCTTATGTCATAAATTCGAATATTACTATCTGAACATCCGGCAATAACATGGTAGCGATCCTGGAATGCAACACTGATAATTTTTGCTTTTTTCGCAGATGGGCGAACAAGAACTTTTTGCAATTGTAGATTTTCATCCGCTGTCGAGTATAAAACCAAAGCTCCGTCAACACAACCAGCAATGAGCTTTTGGCATTCTCCGGAACGCTCCTCTCCACGCTTTTGTTCCTCTGCAGGTTGAGCAGCAAGGCACCATATTTCACCATGATTTCCGCTCGCTGAACGTAATGGCTGGCCTTTCACCAAATCCCACTCGGTAACAGTTGTAGTATATCCAATGCTGAAAAGTCTAGATTTCCCAATTATTTTTGTGCCATTGATTTCCTCGGTAGGATCTTGAGTCCAGACAAGTCCATCAATACTGCGATCCTTCCCACCTCGAATGATTGTTTCTTGAAGCCATGATCCTTTTTGCGGGTTCCAGAGCTCGATATCACCGTTTGCGCGACCGAGGGCTAATCGTGGAGAAACAGCAGATTGACCTTTTGTCAAATTCGAGTGCGTAAATGCCAATGCATTGATTGTTGACGGAGGGTATGGAACGAATCTGCAGCGGTGGATATCCATTGCGCCGGTTTAATGTTGATTTCTCATTCAATTCTCAAAAGGAAAAAAAGGAAAAAAAGGAAAAAAGGCTCAAGAGGTTTTTCTGCCGGAAGTTCAGTTGGAGGCGGTGTATGACTCACGTGATTATAGAAACCTATCCTTTGAAATCAGGATGGGCAGCTGCAACAGTAATGTTACAATCAACTTTCAGAATATCTCCATTTGATTCGATGGAACAAGTCAGAACGTATCATCTTGCCAAGTTGGCAGGTTGTGTTTATGTAGTGGCTATTGGAATTATCTTCACTCATCTAAATAAATGAGAATGATTAAATTTGTGAGATTACAACAATGCAAGTGATTTTTGGGTCATCAAATTTTTGTATCTCTGTTATTGAATCTCATATAGCATTTGACTTGTCTGACAGCATCTTAAACTGCTCTTCTATCTCTTTACGTTGGAACTAGTCAGGGAGTTCCAATCCTACGTAACTTGGCATTCCAAACATCATATCGCAGCCATACAGTCTTGTAGTTCACAGGCATGGTATTCTTCAGCTATGCTGGTGTATATCCGAGACGTTATGGTTTTGAGGTCTGTAATCTGTGCAGAAATGATCAAAAGCAGTTAGAGCTTTGAATCTCTGTCGTTCTCCTCCGCAACCCCCCTTTCCCCTCCATCTCTAACCCTCATTCCAAAGACCTCAATTCGAATCAATAACAATCCAAGGAATATAACAACTTTTCGTTCCATTCCCAATCGTCGAAATGAAAGGCGTGGATATATCCAGAATCTTAACATCTTGTGGATGCCAAGCCTCCGGATTCTCATGATTGCACCAATCCTTTGTGGACGTCGATTCAATCAGGATATTTGTGAATGTTACCGCTCCGGAATCCCAACCAGGATCGACGCCATTGCCAGTTCCCACATGCTCAATCACTAGTAAAACCTACACAATCATCATTAGTTAAGGTTTCAAAGCTTGGGTCTAAAAGTGCAGTTACCTCTGTCATGTCTGGGACGTTAGGTTCTAGTGAAATGTCAGTACCCCTTAACCGACATACAGAAGATGGAGATCATACCAAATTTGGAGCCATCGAAAGTGTAGTTCCCACCATATGGTACTTCTCCCTTTGATGCGCCGATTCGACCGGGCATGACGGACCACGTATCGAGCCATTTATTGGAGATTTCATGAAGAGTCCAGAGACTTGTTATTTCGTCACCCAGATATACTATTTGCTGAAATATTAGCCTTTATTATGTCCAACCTGATGATATAAGATATAAATCTGTTATTTTTCTCCCCTCTCTTCCACCCCCACCCACCAACAACAAAACCTACCCTTCGGTTGTCTCTCCTCAAAATAGATCTCCGTCCAACTAGATTTCGTCGCCCCGTTATAAAAACTAGGTATATGACTCCAACACCCCACTTCACCCCCCGCATTCCCAAAAACATTTTGCAGAACACAGCTTTGATCTGTTGGTTGCATGCCGGCCCAGGTTGCTTGGATCTTCCAGTCTGGGCCATGGCCTTGTAGCGCTGTTGGCGGGGAGGGTACATTTAGAGTTGCTTGAAACTATTGACAGGGTAAATATTAGTGAAAGTACTAAAGAATGATTATTCGGAAGATGGGGGAAGAAGATTGATGGCTGGGGATGGGGGAAAACACATACCCGTGTTATTTTCCCACCATGCGTGAAGATGAATACCACGCCTGCGCTTGCATGGTCGATGAGAGTAAGGATAAGTGCAAGGAAAAGAAGAGCAGCAATGAAGGAATACATAATGATAAGAATAAATAGATAAAAGCAATGCGGATCAACCAGATTGCAAATCGAGATGTGATGCAACGTTCCTCGCTCAATCTAAACTAGTTATAGAAGATGTCTAATGATTCTTATGAGGTAGAGGTCAGAGGTTAGTCCTGCAGCCGAAACAAAAATCTCGCAAGTATTTCAACGAGAGTTTTTCGACAGGCAAACAAAAGTGTTTCCATAAAAATCGTACCACCAACCCCCAGCAGAACTCAGATGGATACACCACGCCATCAGCAGGATCTCATTCACTCAGGCCTGAAATATTTTCCGCATCTGTTATGACTAGGCAGTCGGTCAATGATATAAATGGGCTTGAGATGTAGTATCGGTTCCCCTTTGAGGCGGCCAAGTCCTCCAAAGGTCATCTTGAACGGCATCATGCCAATGGCTAACGATTTCCAGCGGCTGAATCTGATTGACTCATTATGCAGGTTTGGAATTGCCAAAACATGATTACTATAGATAACATTATTAGAGAATGGTTAATGAGGATACCGTTTCTCAGGGACTGATACTGGGATTCTGTGTTCATGGTTGATATGATATGCAGGTCAAAGGAATACATAAATCTCTTTACATATAAAAATAACGGTTCTAATTTGCAAGTTTCTCTGAAAGATATCCTGCACAAGTGAAGTAGTATACATTTAACTATACTATCAATTTATCATCTATCTCCCCTCACATTCTATATATCGATTCCCTGACCGATAAATCAAAACTTCCCATACATCCACAGTGTACACCCCAAAGCTAACATCTCACCCAAAACATCCGTCAAAGTACCCCCCCCCCCCAACATCCCAAAACCCCACCCTATCCTATACCACAGCCCCAGAGTCCACAACAGTGAACCCCCTAAAAAAGCAAATCATCCCCGTAACCGCCGGATACACCTTCACAGCTTCTACGTTACTAATCGTAACATTGCTAAGAATCAGTTGATCAACACTACACCAATCGGCATCCGTGCCTTCAATTTGAATCAGGATATGTTTCCACTCCAGGGGACCCATTTCCCATTTTGCGGCGCGGTTGAGTTCGGTGGCGAGGATAGCCTGAGGGGTATTAGTTAATTTGTGAAAATGTTGCGTTGGGTTGAAATGAAAGAAGGAGAGAGAGAGAGGGATGATATAAAGGACACGCACTTGTGTAAAATCTCCTATATCGGCTAAAGATTTCACGTTAGTCGAAGTACATCTACATCCACACTTTTTCCGACTCAAAGAAGAAGCAACTCACGATACGGCGAAAGATCAACCGTTACATTCCTCATAAAATCTCTCTCCCCATTCGCCAATCCCTCCACCCCTCTCCTAACCATCCAATTAACAAACCATTTATAGGACTTTATTGGACCTTTCCACTGCTCAGATGTATCCATCGAGATGAATCCATCGAGATGAATCCATTCGAGATCAGATCTCCGGGATAAACAATAATATTCTTCCCATGAATCCTCTCGCCTCCAGCTGCTGCATTCCCGAGTTGGAAATACTCAAAAAATGACCATCGTCCTAGCGTTTCTCCTTCATTGGCATATACGATTTGTAGGATGGAATTGCTGTTTGCAGGCTCGATTGCGGGCCAGAATGACTGGATTCCAGTGGTTTGGAGAACGGTTGGTGCTTTGGGTACAATTACTGTGGCTCGGAACTAAAGGGGCTTGTTTAGATTGCAGAGTTTGACGGAAGTTTTAGGTAAAGCTTACTTGAACAATTTTAGCATGGGGCTCAATAAACACAGCGCCAGTCGCTACGAGATGGAGTCTACCGAGGAAGAAAAGAATACCGGCAAAGACGTTGGGATGGAGAGAACACATTTTGCAAGAAGGCGCTGATTAACTGAATACTTAGTGAGTTTCAATTGGTATATTAAAATGAAGAAAAGACAGAGTAGGCAGAGTGGGCAGATTGTGAGAGAAGGCAAACTGATCAAGAATTACTGTCAATAGCTTGCTGTAGGAAGAGGAAGAGCCCTGAACAGGTTTCTGAAATACACGGTCAGACGATGGGGAAAAGCAACATCCTATACGCATTATTCACTGGATTAGACAGAGATATTGAGACACATGATGTGCAACGACGAACCACTGGCTCACGCGGAAATAGATAGAAGATGTATAGCTGACGTAGTAAGTATGGATGGTGTATTGCACGGCTGTTTACCACCATAGTCCGGGGGTTTTATCACGTTTAAACATATATAACATACCAAATAGATTCAATGTATAAAATGAATTCAGGAAACGAAACGATTTCTATCGGATTAGAGTTCGTGCTAGCCTGGGAATAGGAGCTATTCTCAAAATATCTTGATTCGATGATACCTCAGTATATAGTAAGACAGCCTTCACGATTCAGGCATCAGTTGTCTCTCCCACCAAAGCCTCGAAATCAACTTCACCTTGAACATTGAATCTCCATTTGACATTTTCCCAACCTTTTCTTCTCTTTATATTGACTTCAACATCATTTTTGGGTTTCCTAACCGCTGTCCCCAACTTTTGAAACGCCCTACCCGGCACACTTGAACCGTCGATATCAAATCCCATGATAATAGCAGCAACAAGTGAAAGGATTTCAGTTGTAGCGAAATGTCTTCCTGGGCATAAATGCTTTCCACCACCAAAGGGAAAATATCCCTGTGTTTGCTGTTTCTTCTGTTCTTTGCCTAATTTCGCGATGGTTTCTGGTAGGAATCGAAACGGATTGAATGAATCAACGTCTGGCCCCCAGATTGATGGCGAATTGTGAGTGACACCAGAAGGGAGTTGTATGACGTTTCCAGCTTTAAGCAAAAACGAAGATTGAGAGGTTGATGATGTGAGGATTACATCTTGGGTGACGGATCGAACAGATGTTGCTGCATCAGCGAAGCGAAGTGTTTCACGAAAGCACGACGTTAATAAAGGACAACGGGATCGGAACAGAGTAATGTCCATGACACATTCTTCTATTCCATCCTCATCTTTATTTTTCGATATGATATTGGAGATCTCGGTCTGAATGGAAGATATCAAAGCCGGATCTGAAAGAATGTTAACAAGTAGCCAGAAACATGTTGGTGCCGAATTGGTTGTCGCGAGAAAAAGTGTAGAAATTTCGATGTTCGCAATCTCCTCAGCTGTGAGACCCCATTTCTGGGAGCACTCTAATCGTGATTTGATGAGGGTACTGGCGGCCATATGATGTAATGAAGCATAATAGGATGCAAAGGCAGTTTTGATGGCTCTACGGCCATGATAAGCTTTCGGGCAAATGAATGTAGGTAGAAATTCAAGCATAAGCATTGTCATGTTTTCCTCAAAGTCCCTGGCAACATCAGCACTGACTTACAAGTTTGGGGGCAGGGTGTCCAATAGTCCGAATGAATAGATCAAATATTAGATGTTCCAAATTCATCAGGGTATTCCAATACAAATGAAATCACAAAGTGTAATAGGATCTAGGATATCCATTGAGTACATAGAAATGATTCAGTACAGAAAATTGGACCCTGGCTGGGGATATTATTGCTAACCAGAGAGAATCTATGAGGCTGTGATTAGCACTCACGGGATCGTGTGGCCCGTAAAGAGACGCAGAAGTAGCCAACGTAAGGGTATCTCTCATCCATTTGTAGAGGGATACTTTTCCAGAGTTCTGATCAAGCTTGTTGAGGATATCAGCGACAGCACCCAGAACTCCTTTGTTCAATTCTAACAGACTCCCACTGGGTCCTAAATATTCTACCATCAATCCATGATTTTCGTTCAAGTAGGATCTTCCATTACTCCCATTTAAGAACGGCCCTTTCGGGTCATAATCTGGTGAGGTTTCCCCGCGAATTATTTTCATTCCATGCTCGCCAATATTGAACGCCCGTTTCGAAGAATCGACAACAAATGTAGTAAAATCAAACGCTTTCGTATTTCGGTATGCAGCTTGAATTAGCGAAGGTTCGCAGATTACGTAGATACGTGCGGCGAATATCCTAAGCGTGAAGACCGAATATAGAGGGTGCTCGGAACTGTAATGGAGATGAATGGTAAGTGAATGTTCTTCGAGGGGGCTTGAATAGCTTCGTGTAAAGATCAAAGGGCCAAGCAACAAGTGTTTCGAGAGTACTCCGCAGGCCCATTCATGTTGTTGCGCTGATCCCATACCTTAAAGTCTGGAAGTAGCCAACTTGTCTCATCAGCATACCGATCAAATGCCCAAATAATGGAATCGTTGATTTGACCTCTGGAGGTTCAGTCCCTTTTGTGCCCTTCTCATCCTTACGACCAGGCCTACCAAACAATACCGCAAGTCCAATGCCTAAGATCAAGGTAATGGCAATTAGAAGCCTATTGACATTGTGATCCTGCAACCTCAAAAACGAAGGGAACATGGTCATCGCAGAAGCATTGTTGAACACCATGGTAACGGCTCAAGATGAACATAACGCGAAATGTGAAATCTTGAATGCATCTTATTAAGGAGAGTTAAAGTGCCCAGTAGGCTCCAAACTACCCAACCAACAACCAAAGAAGCCAAGGGGACATGGCTTGCAGCAGCACCTACAATCACTGACTCCGTACAGTAATGAGGACGATCAAAGCGGAGCATCTTCTCAGTGGGTCGCGGGAAGACTTGAAGCCGGAGAAGTTAGTTTCGAGTCCCTAAGCCAAGTTCTTTGCAAGCTTAGGGCTAGAGAAGCTCGACCATCTCTTATTTAGTTCGCATTGACCTAATCTGATGGATCCCCTATAGTCCAAAGAAATGAAAGGGTTCAATCAGCAATAAAAAATCCTCAAAGAAGTTCCAGTCTTGTTCAAGAATCTGTTGTAGGAAGCTCAGGACTCAGGAGATTTGATGAAGTTGAAGGAGCTGGAGCAACGGAGCTTCAATTAACGAAGTTAGCCCAGGAGTGCTGAGCAGCCTGAGCTGAGCTCTACCAAAATGAGAATTGTGGCTGAGCAACATGAATTGAGCCACTGTGGCAGGTTAGCAGAAGATCCATGTGGACCTACCAGGTACAGTTTTTATCAGGCACAGTTTCTACCACTCATCATCACTTGATATGCATGCCGTATGTCTCGCAGTATGTGTGCCACCAACGATGCGTGAGATCAAAGAGAATCCAACTCTTGAGACCTTGTCCCTGAACTTCACTTGAATCTTACAATGTGATCTCTTCGATTATCTATGCTACCATGCGTGGGAAGATATCAGAACACACATAGCATCTGTCGACAACGTCTTTGGGCGAATGAGGTTGGCCTTCACACCTTCGATATTCTTCATGCTGGAATCAGTAACAGGAAGAGGTCACGGTATTCATACCATTCAGTTCACCTAGTGAGAGCTGCGCGTTGTTCGATTTGACTCCATTGATCGAGTGATTGATACAATCCTAGGGTTTTGAACGGGAGAGTGTATGGCTCAAAATCAATTTGATTCATAGCTTGAGATTTCACATGAAGGAAAAGGAAGGTTCAAATCATGCATTCAGACTCTAGTGATCCATAGAGCCCTAGAAATCTTGATGGGTAAAGTGAACCGCTCAAAATGCATACCTGTGCATATTGTGTGTGACGACGATCTTCTGCATATTGTATTGCATATTTTCCCGGCACGTTGTTTGTTGTTATTACTCAGTCTGTTGTCGCTATATGACATGAATCATTACTGTCCCATCGTTGTATTCTTTCAGATTTTTAAAAAGAAAGCAAAGAGTCATCTATTCGAGAATCATTTCCCATCCAGTCGACTATGAATCTAAGCGCCATTTCAAACGATAGAGACGGATCTCCTGGGTCCATGGAACCTCATCGACCGAATTGTCTTCGATTGCATGTTATGCTATTGGAGATGCCAAATAACGAATTATTGAAGGAAGAATTCTCGACTATAGATTTTCTATGGCTTCGAAGAGTAATTATAGGTCATCGTTCTATTTAGAATGACCCACTGATCTCTTTATAGAACATTCCCTGGCCAAATATGGTCAAGTTGGTGGTATATCGCTTTTTACACATGCACAACCTCTACCAGATCGACCAGGATGATGAGATCAATGAACTTGTCGATTACATATTTAGAAACGGGGAATTGCCAAACAACCAAGATTGCAGAGCACAAATGATTCACCGATGCAAAAAATTGATCCTCTTAACTTCTCAATGGACATCAAATGGTATATTAATGTACAACGAAAAGAACCGTCTGGTCAAGAGCGCAATTTTCCAAAACGCTTGGAACAATCAAATCATCATCATGCGAAACAGAATCAAACCCACCAATAAAGAAGTACCTGTCGTTGAAGTACCCAATGATATTCCTGCAAAGGTACTACTTTTTATGTCTTCTTCTCGAATGTTGAACTTACCAATCCCATAGGTTTTGGAATCAAACAGTGTGATTACCGAGGTATCTGTCGCAGCTCCGAGCCCGTCACTGGAAGGAAGGCAGAATAGCTCCGAAATGATCACAACTACCGAACCCCTTATCAAAGTTGATCCCGATGGACCTGTGGAGTTAGTTGACGAGATTAAGACAGTGTCTCGAGTGAAGTTGGAACCCCTTGACTCAGAACAAGTTCAAGCGGTGCTGAAAGATACTTCACTACATGTTACAGATGAGACTTATCATTGCTCTCCTTCTTACTGTCATGGGTTACCTAATTTAAGTCCGATATTCCTGATAGCCAGGTTCCACCACTGGATACGACTTCAATTCCTCAGTCTAGCCCTTCACGAGATGGTACCATGGCTGAAGTCATATTCTTAAAGGACTCGAAGCGTATCAACTACTCTTCCGAAGCATTACTATCACAACATACCCAAAAGTTCAAGGCCTGTGCACAGATAAATGTGCTCACCCCAAACAAAGTCGGTCGAAAAATTGTTCGTGATGCAATGAGTCTGATCTGGGACAGTAATCATGAATTAGTCCTCTTCTGGAAATCGGTGGCTTTGCGAACGTCTACCATCATAAAAATCACGTTCCCTGACGCCGTCTGGTTACCTGGTGTCACTGTTGACATTAATAGTGGTGACGACCTTCTCAGAGTTAGACAGATTATCTGGAATAGCTTCTGGATATTCGTCGCCAAGCAACCAGAAACCATTGTCTCGACTTTCAATATCAATGCAATCCCTCAAAACCCTCAACTCTCGGTAGCACTCTCTAAGCGACAACGGAATAGTATACCTGATGATTCTGTGTCAATTCACCAAGAGAATGGCACAAGCCCTCGTTCTAACGATGCATATGATGTAGCATTCCGAAATTGTATGGCTAAAATCAGTAGCCAGAGATCTTACGATAATTCTATTTCACGTGATGGAAGTCAAAGTATCGGCCAAGTTCCAATATCACCAAAATCACTTCCATTGCTGAAAAGACCTGCCAAGCGACCGCGCTTGATAGAACAACACCCACAACAGCTCAAACAGAACTTGCAATTACAACGTCAAATCCCATACTTGCGGAACGACAGATACAACCGCAGATACCACAACAGCAGACACATCAGCAGGAGCATGGGTCGCGCCCAATTCAATCACTTGCAGGGTCTCACATTTTGGGATCTGTACGTCATCCTCCGCCACAACGGTTCATACAAGCCCAACCTCTCCAACCAAACAACCTTCACACTCAACCACGAACCAGCCTTCCATCGACAGAGACAGCTGTGTTTCACCATGAGCCGAATAATTCATTCGCGTCATACGCGTATCAAGCATCGCGTACGAACCATTCTCCCCGCTCCTATACTTTACCAGCAATGTCTCCTCCTCCAACTACAAACCATGAGAACATGCGCTCTCAACGCATTCCTCGAACGGCTGCATCTACTCTCACGTCTTCATACCAACATTCACCATATGCTCACGGATCAGCACTAATGTCTCCTCCTGAAACCATGGCTAGATCTCATCGTTCCCCATACTCAGCACACCATCCGCCACCAATGCCAGCACCAAGACTCAACAATCACACCCAGACTTCCAATCATCCTGCACTACCCCTATCCCCACCCATAACCCCTCACTCTCACCACTTCCCTCCATATCCTCCCTCCAACCCAATTCCAAACCCAAACCAAACCCCAACCCCAACCATCCAATTCCGCATCCAACTTCAACCACACGGCCCCTTCAGCGCCCCCTACCCCAAATCCATCCACGGCATCCCGGGTAAACCCGCAATCACCACCTCTCAGTTCTTCACCTCCTTCGTCGCAAACACAAGCCCCACTCCCAGAAAGACTCCCAACTCCCTAACCTTCCGACTCAAAGACGCAGTGCTATTTCCTATCGCATATACCATTTCTCGAACCGGAGCAGTAGATGGAGATAAAGATGGAGATGGAATCGATGCTTTGGTTAAGCTGAGAGCGGATATCAAGAGAGAGTGTGAGAATGCGGGGAGATTGGTCATGGGATTGGAGAAATTTGAGATTTACGTTAGTATTACGGAAGAAACTGATGAGAGGAACGAGGTGGAGCTGCCTGCGCAGGTGTTGGGAGAAGAATGGTGATGTTGCAAATAGGATGGTAGAGAAATAGTCATGGCGACTCGATGACTTCTTACAAAACGCTCCTCGAGTAATACTGCATATAATTTTGATTACGAGATCTGTTTATACAAAGGAACATTGTGGCCCTTGTTTTCACAAAACTTTTGTCTTGAGTATGGATTTTACAGCCGACTTCTCAATTTCTTTTCAATTGACTTACCGATACTTCACATCTCACATGTGAAATCAAATCGCAGCACAACACACACCAACCTCACCCTCATTCACTTCTCATCGTTCGGAAACCAAGATCCGATCACGATGAAAATGCATACACAACATCTATTAAGAATTCCCAACCTTTTATTCATCTATTAACTATTAATTATTAACTATAATCTTCCTTGTATTCTGTTCCAAAAATTCGTCCATCATCCATCATAATCGTAATAATCTGTGGTTAATACCACTATAAATATAAGTCATCCATGATGTACTGATTAATTTATGTGATGTAAGTGATGAAATAACATCTCAGTTCAACTCCAGATTACTGGTAAAGCTGAAATCACAGAAGCCATATCTGACCCATGACGACCATGACGGCAATAGGACCAATAGTCGAGATGACATAAACAATATTAGTAACAGCAGGTGTGATAAGGGCGAAGATACTGTTATCGATACCAGTTGATGCAGCCGATGCTTGGCTGGCGATTGGCGGACTGATACTTGCAGATGTTGCGGGAGAGGTGTTTTCAGCCGGTGTAGATTTGCTCGTGGTTGAAGGTTTGCTCCCTTTGTTACTTGATTGGGCATTACCCGTTGGTCTGATGACATCTTAGTCTTTATAGCATTGAGAGAATATATGGAAGACTTACTGAGAAGTGTTTCCCGAGAATAGAGAGGCAGCACTAGCCACTGCTCCAGATGCAGAAGCGGCGCCACCAGCACCAGCACCTAATCCAGCGGACCCAGCAGCAGCCCCCCCACTACCAGCTCCCCCATTGCCAGCTCCCCCACTACCAGCTCCCCCACTATCAGCTCCTTCATTGCCAGCTCCAGAGTTGGTGCTATTAGTGAAAGGGGGGTTTGGTCTAGAAGGAGACGTTGCATTTGAGTTCTCTGAGCCAGGCACAGGGTTCTTGGGTCCCGAGGATGTTGAGTTAGATGCAGGCGAGGGACTCCCCGGTCCTGATGACGTGGGGTTTGAACTCTCTGGAGCTGATACGGAATTATCTGGACCTGATGCTGGTGATGAACTTTGGTTACCTGATCCAATCGTGTTCGAAGGCTTTGATGCCGAGTCTGAGCATACTCTATGAGAACGTTAGATGAGAAGACAAAACTATGAGTGTATACACCTACGAAATAGTTACGGTGACAGTTACGGCTCTAGCCACGAAAGCTCTAGCCATCAACTCATGCGTTGGAAGAGGAGGAGCTATTGTTATTGGAATAAAAGCTGCCGGGGAAGAGATGCATGCTGCACAATCACAAGACTCGCCATGAGAGTGGTGGTGGGCATTGAATGCTACTGCTTTCTTGGACAATTCAAAAGCGGCCAATGAGTGAAGATCGGTAGGAATTGAAGCTGATTGGACTAATGTGCTCGAGATACTTGGTCTTGACTTTGCCATGGCAATAGCAAGTAGTCCTGTAGCATCACGAACGGTGTTGCTGACGCCAGTAGGATGTATCACTAAGCTGTTGATATTGGCTAAAATTACGGACACCATATCAGATCTTCCTTGAAGAGCAAATGAGACTGTGTTTGTTCCTTGAGCAAGAATGGCAGAGACGGTGGTGGATCCTTCCTCCATAGCTTGCTCTTGGGATTGTGTGTGGTCGATGATGAGAGATGCTGGAGTGTTCAAACAGTCAGGCGAGCAATCAGTTAATGCCGAAATCTCATTTCTAGCAGTGGATGGCGTAGACATTGTTGTTCTGTAAAGTAACGTCAGCACGAGTAATAGAATGACAGGTTGATACCTACTGCCAATTAAGACCGAAAGTGATATCTCTTTTCCCCAAGTTGACACCATCCTTACGGACAAATGCTTTCAAACCTTCTCCAATGAATACAAGTATGAGAACCGAAAAGGCAATAAGTGTAGCAACGACCATGGCAGGCCGTCCTAATCGACGTGAAGGCATAATTTCAACGAGAAAAGATTTTGGAAAGAACGTGAAAATGCTTGAAGCAAGTAAAACGTAGTTATGGCTGTATCAAAGACCAAAATTGCATCAATGTATGTGCAGAAGTGAAGGTTACAGAGACAGGGACCAAAATTTACCAAAATTGCATCGAGCGAAAGTTGTATTGAAGAAGTTTGAAGAGAAAGAAAAGAAGAGAAGAGACGAGAGATAAGACGGCTTTTCTTATTGTTGGGAGAATTTGAATGGTTCTTTCCTCAGTTGCAGACTAGTGCTGCCTCTATTTCCATAATTGTCAAGGAACTCCTTCCCCATCAGTATTTGCTCCAGATGAATCCTTCCTACTGCCATTCCGGCCTTCCTAATCGAGATTCTTCGGCCTGTTTGCGCCTTACCTCCATACTTCATATCATAGAAAAAAATCAATCACAGTAGCAATTCAATCAAAATGAAGGCAATCAGTTCATTGAGACATAGCTATAGACCCTAGCTTTCAACCCCATATAAACCCATTTGCATAAACTAAAGAATTATTTTCACAAGCCCACTACACACCTAGTAACGCTTGCCGGCACGGAGAGAATCACCGAATTCCTCCAAAGGACTTCTGATGAGCTTAGTCTCCTTCCATAAGTTAGGAGTCAAGTATCCGTATGTGTTGGCAGCAGCGACGAAAGTAGCCTTCAAGGTGTTCTCAAGGGTCTTGGTCGAACCGGAGGAGGATGTGTATGCATCTTCAACGCCTGCAAGTTGAAGGAGACGCTTGACGGCCGGGGAAGCGACAAGGCCGGTACCACGGGGAGCTGGAATAAGCTGGAGAAGAGAGAGAAATCAGCAAATGAATTGACCGTGGACTTTTCATGAAGTTACTTACTCTGACAGAGACGGATCCACACTTTCCGCTCTCCTTGGTTGGGAGGGAGTGAGGAGTACCCAAGTTGGTACCCCAGTAACCTCTTCTAATTGGGACAACGGACAACTTGGCGATGATAATAGCAGCACGGATGGCAGTTGCGACTTCCTTGGAGGTCTTGATACCGAGACCGACGTGTCCCTCAGAGTCACCGATGACAACGATGGCCTTGAATCTGGTACGTTGACCGGCACGGGTTTGTTTCTGGACTGGCTTGATCTGTAGACAAAATTCACATCAATATCCGTATTTACCAAATTACCATAATCGCATAAAAGCGATTCTTGTAAATTTCGCATACCTTCATGACCTCATCCTTCAACTTTGGCAAGAAGAAATCAACAATTTGGTACTCCTTGATTGGCAAAGAGTGGAGGTAGATTTCCTCCATAGAGTTGATCTTTCCATCCTTCACAAGACGGCCAAGCTTGGTAACTGGTTGCCATTCCTTTGCCTCGTCCTTGTTTCCTCCACGTCCGCGACCACGTCCACGTCCACGTCCGCGTCCGCGATCTCCTCCACGGCCTCTGTCGCCGAAACCTCCTCGTGAGCCGCCTCTTGGTGCGTCAGCCATATTGATATCGAATTGATCGTTAGGTGGTGGTTGGCAAGTCGGTGGGCGTTGAACGATTAGGAGATCAAGGACTTCGAAATTATTGATTAGAATTTGGAAGTGTGGGATATTTTTCGCTTAAGCAATTATTTAGCCACCCAAAAGTGGATTAGCGCTCTTGAGAAAAGTTCATGAGTGCCTGATTAAAAGCACTTGTAAGGATCAGGCATTCTTGGAGGGACAGTCACGTGTACAGTTGACTTTCCTTCCTTCAGGTGTAGTTGTGTTCCTGCCTCTCGTTCTAGTGTTTACTGAATGCAACTTTCTATCATATCATATACAGATTTCCTCACGCATGCACTTTATATAAATCTGTCCATCAATTGACGAGGTGGAATCTTTAACACTTACCTACCCTCATCTGCTCGAGAGAGATCAGCTAATCGATTCGTCCATCGCAAGTACCTACTTTCGAATATGCAGTTATCTACATGCACAATGCCCAACGGAAACGCATCAAACCCAAAATGGTCTCTTTTGAAGCCTTAAAAGACTGAAAAGGGATAACTTTGCTCGATATGGGACTACACAATAATATACACAGTCAAGTTTGAGTACTGCTACCTCATATTTGCCACCTCGTGCAACCCAGACTTAAACTCCATAGCATCATGCTGAGTTCCAATTTCATAACTTATCAGATATTATCATTCAAAGAAAAGAGACCCCCAAGTCCAATCATTCACCCCATTTCGCCGTGGCATATCAGAAAAACTTGTTCGGGCAGTTCCGTTTTGCTGCTTCCCACATCGTGATTCATCAAAGTATCACTTTGAAAAGATGTCTAGTAACATCAATGACTTCCATGTCATTGCACTTTCTCGTACGCCATTTCCAAAATCATGTAGGTCCTCGTTGCGCCCTCGAAATTAACTCCTGTGGTCCATCACTTACCAAGAAAATGTTGTTTCTCTGTACCGTGGGTTTCCATTATCACCTTGTTTCAATGTCAATTGTACCGCCAACCATCGTTCTTCAGAGTTCAAATGTAAGTATGAAACCATCCATCTGGATGATTCTGGGATTGGTTGGTCATCTTCCTGAATACCTTCTCCCTCAATACTGGAAATCCATGCGCAGATTCTTGCTACGCTAATGGTGTCAAAGCAAAGCCCTTCTCGCCTCGCTTTAGACCAAAGCAGCGATATAGCCTGTCGACGAATTCGTCGATCACGACACTTTACTGCCGTGATAACGAGAGGGAGGATTGTTCCCATATCGAGAGTGAAGCGAGATGTGTTACTCGGGTCATCCGGACTAGAAAGTAAAATCTGAGCTTTGCATATGATCTCCGCAAAGAGATGGTTGTATTCGTCATATAGCATCTCTGTATGTGGG